AATACTTAACTGCATTTTAATTAGCCCGGGAAAAAGCCGTGCTACAGCGGCTTGTGTGGGTCCTTGAATTGTGCACATATAATGTGAGGCAAACTCACTTCAAAGTCAAAGCTCAGATTGGTCAATTCAAGTGGCTTTTCGAAGGCCGGGGCTTGGTGACCACTTAATTATACGTATACTCGTGTGGTGGACCTTCTCTGCGTCACCAAGCCATTACACTGCGCGCAATGGTGCAGTCGATTTGGCAATAAGCGAGATTTTATAGGTTTGAACTCAGTCCTTCTCAGTTTCGAATTCCTACGGTAACTTTTATTTATTTCAGTAACTTTTCTTTTGCATTGATCTATGCATATTTAATAAACTGGTATTACTAAGCTCCAAGAATTCCTCCAAGTGCAGACATCGAGACGAGGATGCGAGGACACGTGTCCTGACTCCTGACTTCCTCAACGTCCAATTTGCGTACTTAAATTCATTTCACTTTAATTACGAAGGTTTCCCGTTTAATATTTTATGCTCCACTCGCAGCTCTTCGCCGCTGGCTGCCGATTTCCCACTTCTGCCGACTTTCTGCCGATTTTCCGCATTTTCCATCCGCCCATCCGCCCGTCCGCCCGTCCGCCCGTCCGACCATTTGGCCACGTTGCCCAGGACCGCTTCATCTGCTTAATGTCAGTTATTTTCATTACCCCCGAGTCGGCCAGGACATCGAGATCTCCAACGCGCGTTGTCAGGCTGGTGGGCTTCTTTTTATTATTGGGCCGGGATGTTCTCGCATTTCAGGCTGTGTTTTTGGTGGGTAAATATTTCGACTATAAACCGTATTAAGGTATTCATAAATTGCCTGCTGCTTAACCCCAGCAAGTATTGGACATCCAATTTGGTAATTCGGGGCGGAAAATTGAGCAGCCGCCGAATGGCAAAGGGTCTATTGGAAAATTCGTTAACGGATCGGATGACATAAAAACGTCTTCCCAGAAGTAAGCTGCAATGTTTATGAGCCGAGCAACAAGCCAAGATCCGCAAATTGGGCCTCGACTTTGCTGGGGCTGCTTGGGGCAGGATTTGGGGGCGACACACGCATCATTATGGAGCCAAAGTGTCGCGCACGAGATGCTCATCAAATGCCAAATGCCAGGCCAACGGTGTGAACTGCCTCATTGAAGTCGACAGCCTCGAAACAGCCATCTCCCTGCCATGGAAACTCCTGCTCCTTCGCCGGGCAAACAGGATAACAGTGATGGGGCAAAACTGTGATTCAGCCTGGAACTGGAATTAGTTTATAATTGCTGCAGAGAACTCGCATTTCTCTCCTCTGGTTAATTGGAACCCTTGTGTGCCCAGGGATCCCTCCAACTACCATTAAGCCCCGGCTTAGTGAGCAGGTTTCCCCAGCCACTCGCGCGAAAGAATCGAAGCACAGGGAGTTATAATCTCATAAGCTCCTTAGCCTGCGCTTTTCTTACATGCTGGAGATAGCTGGAAAAGCTGAAACCGGGAAAAAGCGGGATAGAAACGCTTTGCTTTACAATTTCAACCTAAAAAGTCAGTGAATGGTGTGGTTCATATTGTGACGATGGATCAACTAAGACATTTCCCACAACTACTATTCAAACTACTTAGTTGATCCTGTGAGCTGGTCCTGCACAGCACACGCATTCCACTAAGTTGGCACATAGCAGTGATTGAATCACTGTCTGCGCCTGTTCACGCATCACCAAGTGGTGACATTCCCCGCAGCATTGGGCGACGATTGGGTGCGGACCGGGCAACGAACTGGAGTCGGGAGTCGGGAGTCGGAGTGGGAATCGATGAAGGAGGCGGAGGTGGGTGCGGCAGCCAAGGCAGGCACATTACGAACACTGCGAAAAAACAATATGTTATTAGGCCATTTGTATTGCTCGGAATTTATTGTGGAAATCTGAAAAGGGAACAGCAAATGCACACAGCAGAGTTATTCAGCCCCATTTTCCGCCAGTGTATCAATAGCGCGCGATGACGAGGACGACAGCGCAATTGGTTTTTGGGAGACAACAAAGAAAGCGAACCTCGATTGGGCGGAGTTGGGGGAAAGCGGGAAAGGCGGGAAAGGCGGGAAAAGCGGAGAAAGCGCCAGTGGGTGGGGGCTGGCTACACGAGGCTGCCAAATACGTGCGTGGCTGAGATTTGTTTGGCTCTCATCCGCGCACATCCTGCGCTTTGCTAACTTTTTGCTCTCCCTGCTAATGTCCTGTCTTTGGATGTATGGGTTCATGGTTGTGCGGCTGTGGCTGTGCGGCTGTGTGGGTGTGAGTCCTGCTGTGGGCCAGAGTGTGTGCGTGTTTTACAACCACAACCTGTGGGGCGGGCGAAAAAATAGGGGGAGGCGAAAACAAAAAATGGAAGGAAGGGAAGGGAAGGGAGGGGAGCAGAGGCCGGGGCAAATCGTTGCCTTTTTTATGCGACCATTTCCATTGCGACTGCGACTGCGTTCGTGTTCATTAACGTTGCTATTACATTTTAACACACCGAATCGGAATGTGTCCTGGCAACGTCCTTGCCACGCCCCCAACCCCGACCCCGACCCCAACTCCGCCGCCCCTCGTTAGCTTTTACTTTCGGTTGTTTTGTTTGCTGCCGCTGCCGCTGCCGCCGCTGCTGCTGAAATATCCTGTTTAACTTTATTTCATTTTTTCACAGCATCCTACACGTGGCCACCCAGCCATTTACCACCCACTTCCGGAGGGTCTGCGTGTGTGTTTGCTTGTGTGTGTGCTTTAGTTGGCATGCATAAATTTTTTACGTTTGTTGTTGTCTTATCAGATCATTTATTTGCGCAGGGAGGCCTCCCAGCTCCCAGCTCCCCAGCTCCCCACTTTCCCTCGCTCTGCAGTCGCATTACTCGTGTTATTTGCATGTTGTAGAAAAATATCAATTTGCGTACCTCCGACTTCGATGGTAGACGGTCGGTCGTTTAACATTTTCCGCTATTTGCAGGCCCTTTGTCCTTTTTCCTTTGCGCCCGCCCTAATTTGCCGGAGACACAGTGGCCCATCCCATCCCATTCCATCCCAGCGGCAAGTTGGAGATAGGCGGGTGTGCGAGTATCTCGAATGTTGTGCAAATGTTTTCGTTTCCCCCACTTTCGCTTTTGGCCATTTGAATATGAATTTATATCAATGTGTCTGGGCAACGCTGCGTATACGCAATTTATATAATTCGTGGCGCTATTTGCATAACTATATTGTCCAGAGTTCAGCTGCTGACCGCCTCGCGCCTCGCGTGATAATGTAAATTTCTCGGCCACTTCGTTTCTATTTGGCCCGGAATTTATCACTTGACTGCTTCGCCCGACTTGGCCCGACTTGGCCATTAGTGGAGCCAGGAAGAGGAGCAAGCAGATGAAGTCCAAGCAAATAAGGTGAAGTGCAGCTCGGACTTATGCCCACGAGTCACGTAACTTCCTGTCGGCGCCACAGTCGCCATGGTTACTGGTTAGTGGATCCTAGATTCTGGACTCTGGACTCTGGATTCTGGATGCCCGGCTCTAAGCTGACTTCGAGTTATGGGCCACCGAGTGGAGGCAGACACTTCGCTGTGGATTCATAAATTTAATGCTCAGCAGCAGTTCGCCTCTCCCACTCCCCACTTACCCACTGACCACCCAGACCGCCAATAACTTTTCTGATAATATCTGGGAATCACCCGGCAGCACTTGCTATTTATCTCCATCCATGGCTTTCTCTTTCGAAGCTGCACCGCGACAAAATACCAACAATCGGGTCAGCTATTAGGTCAGATACGTATCGCATGATATCATAGTACGTAATAGTAGTATTGGAGAGCTATTGATGGTTTCGCCTTATCCGAAAAGGCATACATATAGAAATGGAAGTGAATATAATGAACAATTCCACAGATAATACTGTGGCATGCTTAAATTCATTTTAGTGTTCATTAAATTGATCAGTAATAGTTCCCTATTTCGGAATTTAATTTAAATTATACACTGCTTTCGCGAATTCTTGAGCATTTCTCACCGTGTGGGCTGGTCGTTAGCACATTTGATGTTGCACACTTTTATGTGCCACAGATTTTTCGGCGCGAACGCGGCTCTAATGAGCAGCAAAGCAGCAGCAACTACAACCACATCGTCAACTTTCCGCCCAACTATGTGTCGTATACGTAATATGTGTGAGTACCGGAGCAGGGCGAATAGTAAGTGTACCGAGTTGGGGGCTGGCAAGGTTGTGGCAGTGGCCAAAGCACTCACCACATTGCGCACACATTTTTTTATGGTTGGTTAACTAAATTTACTTTACTGCCTTCCGAACGGCCATGAAACTAGAGAATGCCAACGAGGCCCAAGAAGGGCGGGATAGACTTGGGCAATATAGCTACAATATTGAAAACTGATCAACCTGATTGAATTGCCAGCCACTGAAATAGAAACTAATGAATCGCCCGAGACTTGGGAGCCCAAACGTGCAGATGTATGTAAAATAATACCAATTTCTTGGGTAAGCCTCGCCATGAACTGGCAACATGAACTCTCGCAGATTGCGTATACGCAGCGTTGATTGGGTTGGTATTCGATGCGTTTACGAATACATAAATTCATTAATAGGGCCCTCGCACATTACGCTGCTCCTCCCAGACGAGCTTAAAGTGCATTATGTGCCAGTCCTCACTGCTGTCAGCCATCCGTCCAACAGAGGCGGGCTCAGCGGGCTCAGCGGAGTACAGTAAGTACTCCTGACAGCCTCAAAGAGCTAAGGATTCGGAGGAATCATTCAGCCGAGCAGTTAAACAGTGATATCGCCCTGACTTTTATCCCGGGGGGGCTTCATCCGTTGTAAGGGGCTCAAGCTAAATGGAAGGTGATAGTTTTCCATTCCATTTGAATGACTTGTTTATAGTTTAAAGACGTGTTCAAGTGTGCAAGCATAATGGGTTTTATGAACTGTCTATGTAACCATTGTGTATGATATGTAACCTTTCGTGTTTTATTTTTCTTGCAGGACTTTGGCACACTCCTTGGAGCCTTCACAGCCGAGTAGCACTGTAAGTAAGCCATGATTCCACTGTAGAACACACTTATTTATTTATGTGCGAATGATTATGTGTGTGCAGCACCCACATAAGCTGCCAAGTATTTACTGAGGATATTTAGCAAACATTTACTGTCCCCAAATATTGCGAGGGCGAAGTGGGAAAGACAGCCGGAGTGACACGAGATGGCTCTGAGTTCTCGTCGGCGATACCCGGCTATCTGTTCTTATCGATATTTGCGAAATAATAAAAAAGTGCCAGGCCGCACACTGCCAAAATACGGAGCTGCGATGGAGGAGCGGGCCCAGTTGTCATCCTGGCTCCTCCGCCTCCGTATCTGGAGGGGATGCCCATTCCCATTTTTATTCGCAATCCCCCAGCTCAACAGCTCAATCTGCTACGATTTCGAATGGAGCTGGTAACCAGTGGGTCCCAGATGGGGCGCAGAGTCATGAAAAATTACACAGGGCATTTTGTTCGGCTGTCGGCTCGACTCTTGAGATATTCCAATTTTTGAAGTGTCAAAAATATCCGCTTATATATAGAAATACATACCGACTTTTATGGTACATACACATGAATATGTAAGCAGATAATGGCTCCTTTCGACCTCCACTTCTTTCATTGAGTTGAGTTGGCCAAAATACAATTCATTGGCGCAAAAGTTTGTGGCCAAACAGAAAAACGCAAAAAGGGGCGAAGCGAGCGGAAAGTTCAAATCAACATATTGATTTTTGTGCGAAGGGGGCGTGTCGCCGCCCACGACCGCAACTACCCACGAGATACGAGTACACAAAGCCGACGCTGACGTGTGTATCTTGTATCTTCGCTGGTTGGCTACTGGTGCTGCTTGTGCTGCCTTTGCTGGTTTTTCTGGTTTTTCTGGAGTTGTAAATGTTTGCCAACTGGTGGACAGGGCATTTGCTTGTTCACAACTTTTATTTATTTATGGTTTGATATTTATTTATTTCCCTCCGCATTTATTTTGCAAGAGATTCTGCCATGATACGAGTGCCTTCCTGGCTGCTCTTAATGGGTTTTGCGTACGAATTCAACTGACTGGCTTGAGTTTTTTAACTTTATTAAATTCAGTGCGGAGCAATCAGTTCCAGTTTACGCTTTTGCCTGAACTCTAGAAACTGGCCATTGTTTACCACTATTATTTATTTCTTTTTGCGAGTGCTATCTATTTCTGTCAGTATTTCTTTGGCAGACTCTTATAAAGATAGCTCACAAGTTGCTCTTATTTGTCTTATGTTCAATTCAGGATTTAATTTGCTTCGCTGGCTGCTGTCTTTTATTAGCATTATTATTATTATTCATGTACACCTCTGCTGACCCAAAACAATGCTATTCAGTCCTGGATTGCTGTGAATACCTGAGCCGTAAAGCCTTATAAATTCCGCTCTTTGTCCAGGAGCGAGGAATATTAATTTGTAAGCCCTCCGTGTCAATGGCTTTATTAAATCAAACTAATCACGAAACTTAAACATTCAGCACTAATGAGGCTGGGTTTCTCACAGTGCCTGCTCGGCTCAGCTCGGTGTTATTAAATTTGTTTCAATCTCTTCGACTGGCCCGACCTGACCTACATCAAAATCGGTTCCCATTTCACGGACCTGCAAAATGTTGCAAATTTGTTAGCCCTTTCGGGCTTGCTGCCTTTGATTTGCTCCGTTCAACTTCTGCCAACTGTATAAAGTTTCAATTTGCTTGTCCCTTTGCCAGCCTCAGTTTTCTGCCGCTGCCACTGTTTTGCTTTGGGTTTTTCCTTGGGTTTCCGCTTCTGTTTTTGCGCATCCCTGCACTTGCCACACTCTGCTGTCTCCGCTTTCCGTGGCAGTGGCCCACGAAATGGCAATTTAACAATGAAAAATTAAAAGCGAATTCCAAGTTTTTCTTTCTCTGCAAAAGAGGCTTATATCCCGTATCGTTTCGGATCGGGTCTACCTAAGTAATTACAGTTGAATGGTGGCTACAGTCAGGGAAATAAATGGTGTGTGCACAGGAGATAGAAACGTTTGGTGTTTTTCTGTTTTAATGCCGGAAAAAGGGTTTCCTGCAAATATTTAACAGCGAGCCCCATTTGTCATTGGAATTTTCGCTCCCTTTTGTCGGCTGTTTTCGCATTGTTTTTTCCGCCGGCGTGTGCTGGCTCGGCTCTGTGATGTTTAATTAATTAGAGCGCTTAAATAGTGCATGCCAAATTGCTGGATAGCTTGATTCGCTGGTTAATGCAATTGATGGGCGGAATTCAGCGCCGTTTTGCATAACAATGCGCATTTGCATGCTCCAATAAGTATGCAACATAAATAATTTTTCACTTTGCCCACTCACACATGTGCGGCCCAGTGAAAGCTCTCTTAAAATATCATTAGCATGCACACAGACACACATCTGAGACCTGACCTCCGACCCTAAACGCCCGCCCCCACCCACCCCGCGCCCTGCGAAGATTTAAAGCATTTTTCATGTTGCCTTTTGCCACTTTGCTCTCGCTTATGTCAACTGGGTATGGCTAACAAATACATACATAAATCCACCCGGGGGTTTCCCTCAGCAGTAACATGGAAATCTGCTCGTTCTCCGCCTGCTTTTCCCGCTTTTCCACCACCCACCGTTTTAACCGTTGCACGCATCTTTTATGTGTGCTTTGTTGCTGCTGCTGAATTTACAACGGAACCAAAAAGTTATGAAACTCATTAAAACACGAAACTAATTCAAACACCCCGGGCCTAATTGCCAACTCCAGCCTAAGCCGAAAGCAAATGGAGGGCCAAGGAAGTCCTGGGTAACGAATCCGCCGCGAGGAGGAGGTCCTTCGCCTCGGTCTGCTGCCTGAACGATTCGCTGGCGAATCCAAAAAATTATTTAGCGTTAATTTCCATAGAAAAATGTGCGCGTCAACAGAAATTAAGTGTCCCAGCTAATTTAACACAGCGCTGGGTCAGCGCTCTCGCTTCCTCGCTTGTCTCTGTCCTCTTCCCGCTCTACCTCTCTCACTCTTCCTGCACTGCAAGAAAAGTGGAATTCACACAAGTCCACTTGACAATGCGTCTGGTAGTTTGATGCAATATATTTTGAGTCTGAAGCTAGCTTAATTGTAGGCACCTTTTCACTCACCTTCAACTCCTCAACTCCTTTGGCCTGCAACTACCCGATTTTGGGCAGTGTACTCGCCTCATTTCTGGTCCTGCAGCGCACCGCAGCTGGTGGGCCGCAGATGCCTGCGACGCGTTAGAATACTTACAATTTTAATTTGAATAATTTTGCAGGCTCTAAACGTAAATTACCCTCGCCTTATTTTTTTCGGCGCTGGCCTGGCTTATTATTTTTTTGCCCATTACTTTGCGCCCGCTGACACTCCATCGCCCCAGTCGCCCATCGCCGACTTGGGGCTATATAGCTATAGCTTATTTTTTGTGCATAAGCATTTTGAAAGATTAAACTTGGCGCACTTGAATGTTATTACACGTACCACGAGCCAGCGCCAACACTTTCATTTATTATTATTTTTTTATGCCCCGGCTCGAACCCGGACCAAAAACCCAAAAAAGAGCCCCAACCCCGGCCCGATTGTGCCCCAGTGCCCCACCTCCACTTGCCTCCCATCAGCCAGCCATACAGAAAAATCACACATCGTTAGCTCAGCAGTTTTTCCCTTTTGGTGTTTCCTTTTTTGTGCTTTTCATTTTTTCCAGCACGCTTTTCCAGCGTGCGTCTGTGCCCTTGTCCCAGTGGCAGTGAGGCAGTGAGGCAGCGAGGCAGTGCGGCATGCGGCAGCTAGGAAACTCGCAGCTCGGAAACTCGGGTCCCATAACGCGGCATTTACTTTGCGCTCCTCCCGTAGAATTCTGCTGCTGCCATAAAAATTGCTTCGCTGGCTCCTCAGCTCAGTCACTCAGTGCGACCCTGGAAGTCCTTGCTCTTAGCTCAGCCAGAAGACGCTGCTTAGAAGGAGTCCCGTCCAAATGTTTGAGTCCCCACCCGCTTGAGTTTTGTGGAAACATTCGAGCAAGCAACTCCATGCATTCGTATAGACACACAATCTGGAGGCCAAGCATTAGCTGGAAAAACATCGGGACAATCTGTGGAATGCCCTTCTGCCGGGTCTCATGATTCATCTGAAACCTTCGTTTGCAACTACATAGATCTAGTAGATTATCAAAGTTAATACAACAAGCTGAATATTTTGTAGAACTAACATCCCCAATTCATGCCACATCAGCCCGAAGGATGCGAGATTAGCCCAACTCTTCATATAGCCCATGAAGTTAAGGACGAGCACATTCGAACTTGTGGAAATACGCATACGCCACGTAGACAGCGGCAGCTCTATGCTCATAGGTTTTAATCTGTGTGCGTGTGTGTGTCTGTGTGCGTGTGTGTGTGAGTGGCAGTGTGTGCGTGCGTTTGTGAGCTCAAAGTTTCTTTATTTAATTCAGTGAACTGTAAAATGTGCTGAAATGTTAGATTATTGCTTTTCACCCAGCCGGCGACTAGTGCTCTTGGCCAGCTCTGCTCACCATTTTTCCTATTTCCCCCCCGGCTTTTCCGACCCCCCGCTTCCTCTGCCACTTTGCGCCCATCCGCTCTTTGTGTGTTATTGTTGGCGGCGCGGCTGCCTCCCTCCCCCTTGGCCGTGTTTCAGTGGCCCCGCTGCCCCAACCATTTCCAACTGCACTCCTTTTCACGAAGATAATGCGTTGATAACCCCGCCAAAGGAAAACCCCAGAAAGGCAGGCAAAGGGAACGAAATTGGGCAATTTGCTTACACACAAAGTAAGAAAACGAGCAGAAAAGAACTGGGAAAAGCTGCAGACGTATGAAAGAATTTAGAGAAAGTTTCCCCAGAGTGAGTTGGCTGAAGACCTTTTCGGACTTGATGGAATGGCCCTGAAAGGTTCACGGGACACGTGTCCCGGGCCCGCTGCTCCTGCACAATGGCCACAATGGCGGGGACAAGGACAAGCGCGTTTTCCATTTTACACACCCTGAAGGATGTTGTTATT